ATACTGATTTTGGCATATTCATTAGCTTTGATAAATATCATGTATAGTCATCAAAATTAAAGGAAATAAACTCAAAATAAATATGTCAATTTGTGTTACTTTTTCCAAGTTTAACTTTTTGAATGGAATTACTGAAATGACTAAAGCAGTTGTTATTTTGTATCTGAATGTTTCCTTATGGGATGACTATGTGTATGTATTTCAGAGCTTTTGACAGCGTTCCTCTTTTTGGTTTGACCACTTTTAACATATTTTTCCGTGCTTCATCCTTGACATTTCTTAAGTGGTTCAAATGAACTATCTAGTGCAATATGGAAATGAATTCAATTAATTTGTCATCTCTGCAATTTTTTGTACAGTGAAATATTTGTCCTATATTTTAATATCCAATGTTTAAAAATTCTTTTTTGGGTAATTTCAACTTGTTCTGACCTGATCAATCAGTGTGGTGTGAAAGGTTTATCCTCCGTACTGGGCAATATCATATTTGACACTAAACATCTGCCTAAATGTTCCAAAAGAAATAGAGATTTAACTCAGGGTTTTTGTTCCACATCTTGGCAGCCTTTCATTTCTGACCAGAGCGATCAGTGTGTTGTGAAAGGGGCCTAGAGAAATGATGCAACGCATCAGGATCAAATGAACTAAAACACAGGTGTGAAAGCACCCTAAACCTGTCCAGGAGGTTTTCCTGCCTTCCGACTAGTCTGAGCTGGGTACAGCAGACCCCCTTCGGATTAATAAGCAAGTACTTTACATAGAATTAATAGAGTAGAAACAAAGCATAGAATACAAAGAAAACAATAGAGAATGGCCAGCAAGAATAGTACATTTGAATAAAATCAAGTCACATAAAAGCATAAAGAGTAAAAACTGAAATTAAGACATAGATTGAAATTGTGAAATACCAAGAGATCTGAGTTGTATTCACTGAGTATGTCTGTTAGGTATTTAGATGTTAAGTTATTTTGTGACTTATAGGGGGTACATTCTGAAGAGGACACTTTACAATCACATGGTATACAGAAGGTGCAAGATACCCCCCTCACCTTTTTATTAAACATTTTGGATCCTGGCATCTTGTCAGTACTGTGACAGGCCCAGCGTTGGATTTAACATTTGGGGGCCAACAGCAAAGAATGACAGTGGGGCTCCTGCAGCTTTTTCAAAGCTTTCCTGTTTTCACTATCTCTTCTTCTTTACTTCCTTTCTCTTTTGGCTTTAAATGTTCATTTGTTTTCTCTCCATTTTTCTCAGGAAAAAAGCTGCAGGATACAAGCAGCAGAACTTTGAAATCTATTCTGAACGACACTGGCAGCCAGTGTAGAGACTTAAGAACTGGTGAAATCTGTTCTAAATTTCTAGTGTTTGTTAGAATCTGAACCGCTGTATTCGGAACAAGCTGTAGTTGTCTAATGGTCGTTTTGGAAAGACCAATGAGAAGACCGTTACAGTAGTCCAGCCTACTGAAGATGAAAGCATGAATAAGTTTCTCAAATTCTTGTCTGGAAACAAAGCACTTGATTCTTGGAATGTTTCGAAGATGGTAATTAGTGATTGCTTTGACATTGCTATTAAAACTGAGATCAGGCTCCAGAATAACCCCAAGATACCTGATCTGATTTGTAGTTATAAGGCCCTTGGCCATAAGATAAGCATTAACCTTAACAACCTTGCTTTTACTTTGAATGCAATGACTTTAGTTTTGTCTTTTTCAATTGAAGAAAGTTGCTTTACATCCAAAAACAAAGAGATCAAAAGAAAATATCCAAGTGGTTCCAAAGAGAAAAAGAAGCAGGATGTGACAAAAAAACTGTGGTAGCACTGCCGGAAGTGACATTATTTTGTTCAACATTAAAAGTCACAGTAAAGGGCAGTGATAAATGAACAGCCCATTGGTAGTATTAAGCGGACATTAAAAGAGAAAGGAAGGGGGGGAAAGGAAAGCAGGAAAGAAGAGCAACTTCTTTCCTGAGAAAAATGGGGAGAAAACAAATAACCATTTAAAGGCAAAAGAGAAAGGAAGTGAAGAAGAAGAGAAAGCGAAAACAGGAAAGAATATTTAAAAGCTTTGTGAAAGCTGCAGGGGCCCCACTCTCATTCTTTGCTGTTAGCCCCAAAAAAATCCACTGCTGGGCCTGTCACAGTTCTGACAAGATGCCAGGATCCAAAATGTTTACCAAAAAAGCTGGGGGTGGCAATTTGCACCTTCTGAATACAATGTAATTGTGTAGTGTCCTCTTCAGAACATACCCCTTCCTCCTGTGATTTAACTCAGCCCAAAATCATAAGAGAGTTTTGGCTGTTTTGAAACAAATTACACACATTTTATGTTTTAATTCCAACAATGTTCCACATCGAAACCCTGATTCGCCCTAAAAGCAATAATTTTAGGAAGTTGCTCTTTCAACACTCTCTACTTCTCGGAGCATCAGTTGTTACAGAAGTTCTTAAGCAGAAGTCTCAAATCGTGCTGGAAAAAGAACGTTACATTTGGGTTGCCAGAAAAGGCAAAACCAATGTGCCACAATCTCTGCATGTGAGAAATATGAAACATAAAGCCGCAATCAACAACAGTGACTGCAAAACCTGGAAGTTCAGTCCTCCGCACTGGAAAACATCACATTTCACTCTGAACATCTGGTCAGAGTTTTCATAAGAAATAGTGATTTAACTCAAGGTTTTTGTCCCACATCTCAGCAGCCTTTTGGGATGTTTGTCAGTCTGAATTTTATTTTTGATTTTACACCCATGTTTTTTCCTAGAGGGGCCACTCTGAAATATTTCATAAAATGAAAACAGACATGTGTGGAAACAGCCTGTTAAATCATCAAAAAAGTACATAAACAGAGATGTCGGCCAAAAAAGATAAATTCCTGAACTATGTCAAGGTTTCACAAATGTCTCAAATTCCTCTTTCAGTTAATGATTAAAGCTTTTCCAGAACATCTCTCCCATGGCCGATGACCAAAGAGACTAAGCTTTGGTCATTACGAGAAGGTAAATAAGCTGAGCTCATGGAAACTAATGTTAAGCCACTCTAGATGCCCTCGATATTGAATGTATTAACCTTGGAAACTTTCAGAAGAATATCTAGCAAATGCATTTTAATAGCATAACACTCGAGCAATGGAAAGTGGGACATTTCCTCAAGTACTGATTTCCTGGCTTGCTGAAGGAACTGGTTGCACCTGTCAGACTGTATGTCATAATGATACACCGTTGCATTTGAATTAAAAACACTGTTACGCAACAACAAACACACCCAAAGTGCTGAGCTGGAACACTGTTGGTTTTTCAAAAAGGATTACGAATGGTTTAAAGGTGTCAGCCCTGTTTTAGCTGAAATTTTACTCCAGTGGTCTTGTTGATTTCAAAAGGTGTGAAAGATCCAGACTGGGATGAATCATCATTTTGTAAAGTTACTGTTACAGAAGTCATGACTGGCCTCCTCTGCTCGTAAAAGAGATTTCATACTTTTCATACGTTTCAAGAATTGAATGGGATTTCCCACACTGAGCCATCCATAGGTTCACACTTTAACATCGCTCAAAAATAGCAAATAGTATTGCATTTTTTTCAGCTAACATCAGCTTTTAAAAGGTTGTTTACATCTTTCTAAAACTTTATTTCCTTTCAAACTTAATTATAACTTTCAAATCAATGCTTCCAACCCAGAGGGCCCATTGAACTCTAGGAAAACTTTAGTTTCATAGGGAATGAGTCAGCAGTGTTTAAATCACAGAAGCGAAAAGACATTTCCAGATGGAATCAGTTAAAGCAAATCCACAAAGATACAAGCTCTCCACTCAATTCAAGCGTGAATGGAACCAAGAGTCCAGCAAAGAGAGACGAACCCACACTCTAATCTTTGCTGTCACGAATCTGTGTCACTGTGTGGTAAAAGCGGTGGCTCTTAAAGCAAAGGCAGATGAAGCCCAATTTATGGAGGATTTCCTCAGGTTCAAACACACCACCTGTGTCTTCAAGTTGGGCTTTGAGAAAGAGCCCATTGATGGATTCAGGGATGTTCTTGTGAAAACTCAAACCACACGGGCAGTTTTGAAGTGTAAGCCACTGGACTGCTCGGTAGTACTCTTGGACTTAGCATGGCACGCAACTGTAATGCTAAATGTAGCCCATATCGTTTGCACAGGAGCACTCTTTTGGACTGATCTGTTTGCACTTGGCCGTCACAAGCAAACAGTCACATGCACGATTACGCTATGATTGTGATAAGCCATCACGTGTTCCCAGAACATAGAGCAAAGTATCACCTAAAGTCATAGATGAAGAGGTGCTTCTAGGCAAAGTATGAGTTTCTGCTACATTTGCCAAAATATGTTACATTGTTTAATTTTTTTAGCCATATATAAATAAATAAATAAATAAATATATATATATATATATATATATATATATATATGTATGATATGGATGGTATTTTTACAATTTTTTTAACAATCTTTGAAAAGTAAGAACTGCTAATCTGCTGAGCACTTTGGATATACGCTTTATTTTCAAAATAAAAGCAGAGCAGTATATTTCATCATGGGAGTTCTGACATTGGACACATATAACTCACAGTTAAAACTTAATACTTATAATTATATATGCTTCTAGGCCTTTAGATATGTGCCTTTAACTCGATCTGGGACTGGTTTTTGGAAAGCGAGAGCTGTTCTATGTCTTCTACTTTGTAAAAGTGTCAGGAAGAGAACAGAAAGAGGACACCAGGGACGTGCCACTGATGCTACTTTAGGTGTTCTCTGAGAAAGAGGAAGATAGCAAAACTTTCGGGAAATGAGCTCTATGGGTTTGCGTAAGAAAGCGTATTCAGCGAACAAAAAGAGTGACTTTTTGCAAAACAGACATTTCTCCTTTGCCAGCTAATCTGAAGTTGCATCACTCCTAACATCATGCAACATGATAAACAAGGGTGGCTCTTGATACACTGGTTGTTCACACTTTTACAAGAACACCCAAATCTAAACACATTTTCCTGCGGCTCAGTCAATAGAGCATTGCGCTACAACACAAAGGTCATGGGTTCAAACCCCAGAGAAAGAAAGAGCAGACAAAATGTGTCCTTGAAATAGAAGTCGCTTTGGATAAAAGTGAAATGCATAAAAGTAAGTATAAAAAAAATATATTTTTTAATTCTGTTCTTTTAGAGAGAATAAAAGCAAAATAGGTTTTTACTTTGGAATAAATTGAAAGGCATAGTAAAGAGTAAATGGCAAAAAAAGTAATTCTGCTTTAAGCATTTGAGGTAATGAGATTTTGAAATCCTGTGTCTTCTTGTGTCCAATAGATCTCGCATTCATCTGCTCTGATCTGGGTCTGACTTCCATGAAACTCTCATGTTTCAAATGGTTCCACGTAGCCCAGAGTCTCCTGCATTGAATGGTTCTGCAGTAAATTTCAAATATCTATATCTGTGTTTCCATCCACCTATTTTTATGCGCATTTCAGAATAGATCATTAAAAAACCCTGGATGGAAACGTCTGGATGCACATAAATGTGCATTAAAAATTTGAGAAAAAAAATTACATAAACTACAATGGAAACACATTTACTGAATAAATCCCAGCATGCATATCTAAAAAAAGAATGTGACTTTCATGTGAGTTTATACAGCGCAGTGCATTTTTCTGTTGGAACTGGGGCATGATGGGGCGCCATTACTGGACTAACCGATCGACCGACTTCATTGCACAACATCAGAAATTTTGTTTTGGTCATTTTAAAATTCCTTAACCAAAGTCTGTCAAAGTGGTTGAGAATCATCACCTTGTCTTGACCGGCCTTGTCTTGATCATATGTCTTGACCGGCTCCCGGTTCCGAAAGAGCATTCTCCCGCCTCCAAAAGCAAGATGATATTCACATATTACGGCACATCTACATGTTCTAAGGTGCAAGTTAGTTATTGTATATGAAAAAAAAACTTTCTCCTAATGCAGCAACTTTCATTTTGAAATTTGGCACCAGATCATTAGGAAACAATGCTTTACTTGCAAAATATAAGTGAGTTTCTAGTGTTTTCAGTGATTCAGTCTGGACCAGATTCTGCTCAGATTTCCACTGGGATTGCTCATCCATGGATCACTTCAATATCTTCAGATTTTCATAAGCCCAGAATTCCTTCTACCTCAATCTCATCTCACCATCTTCCATCTTGTTCTACCAACCATGAATTTTCTCTCCATCAATTCCTCAATTTAAACAAGTCACATGTTCCCTTTTTTCACCAATCCAAAACCTCCCTTGCTAATGGTCTTACCTAACATAATGTAACTTCGACTTCCCCTAATTCTGCCGAAATCTGTTTTCTTGCATGCTACTAAAGCTTAAAGCCAGTCTGCAAGTCCATTGTACACTCCAGATTTAAATTAGGCCGCTGTCATCTTTCAGATTGTTTAGCATGACCTCTTTCCTCATATCAAATAGAAGGAACATTTTGATGGAAGCTCCAAAACCAAGACAAATTGAGCAGAGCTGGAACTATTTTGCAATTGGCCAGCAGACATGCAGATCACTGATTGGGCTGAAAGAAATCATCAGCATCTTTAAACACTGTGTAAGTGTAACACAACACTCATCGAAATAAAACAACAAAATGGCAAAGCATTTATCAAAAACTGAGACAGTGCCACTAACTGAGAAAAACAATGCAAAATATCTAATCTCCCTTGATAAAAAATGAGGAGGTAGAGACTTCCCTTTGTAAAGAAACGGATTCAGCGTCTCATCAGGAACATAATGGACGTGCAAGATCAGTAATGGAAAACAGTGCTGAAATGAAATGTTCTACACCATGCAGTGGAAAGCACCATTAGTTTTCTTACAAACTCAATAATTATTACACATGTTTGATTGGCCTTTTCTTATTCTTTGTGTCATCACTGTTAAGCAGAAAAAGTTTTTAGAACGATCTAAGTTCAATTGCTTAAGACAGTCTCATTTCTGATTTACTGTCTCGTATGGACAAGTACAAAATACAGTTTGCACTTATATTTCTGTAAATGAGTATGAAAACACTAAGGTTTTGATGATATAAAAGAGCCAAAAGCTCTGCCAAATAATTGTAATTTATTCAGATGTTGTGTTTCTTATGCTGAATGTTTGCATTTTTCAGAAAGAAAAGCTAATTGGAGCAACTTTTGGGGACTTTTTAAATTTTTATTTTTTAATTTGGCTCTTAAAACTTTCAAATTTGAAAGTTAATCAATAAATCATGCTAACATAATTCCAAGCCATAAAACACAGTGAATTTGTGTGAATACGAAAGCGCTATATAGTAGGCCACTAAAGTTTTGTTTTGTTCCATGTGGTTAAAAGGGTGGACATTACGGTGATTTTTAAACACAGGTTAAACACATTTTACATGCTCTGAAAATTGCATGCAGTCATGTTCATGCAGGTTTAACATCTGGCCTCTTAATCGTTCAGTACATTTCCTTCATTAACTGCATAGCTTTCCTTTAAAGGAGTTGCCGGGAGGGTCTCAGCCTTATCAGAGGGTTTGGAATGTTGACAGGCAGGATTGAGCAGAGATTACACTCGAACATCCCTAAGAGAAAGAGTGACGCACAAAAACATATCTTATTCCATGTAATAAGTTCTTCTGTTGTTGTTGTTGTGGCTGTTGTTGTTTTTTCTTTTTCAAACAGGAGTTTTTTATTCATTTCTCCCTCTTAGCAATGTTTGTCCCTAATTAGAAGAAGTATGTGGATCCGTGTTACTGGAATCTTAACATTTCTAAACGTATGGGTTTTTCTGCTCTGAATTCAAGGAGCTAGACTAAAAATTTTATGATTGCAGAATCAGCTGGTCCTCCACTACATCCTCAAACACCCTTTCCTTCATGGTCAAAACAGGAAGTCTTCTGAAGGCTTTGGTTCCTTTTCGTGAGCGCAATCTTTGATGTATGTCTAGAGTACCAACACAAAAAACTAATTTACCGAATCAACCAAAACTTTTAATTGAATCTTTAATTTGAGATATTATGATTATACTGTTGCTTATTTGAATGTCATGCTATACATTCTTAAACTATTGTCCAGCAAAAATGTTTTGCCCATTCTCTCAATTAAACATATACTGAATGATATAAAAAAAACTGTGTATAAGTACATTACAGATCATCTATATAAAAAATATCTCTTTCTGTAAAGAAGTGTATTGATAGCGCTCATGTGTGTTAGTGACAGCTGGTGAATGGAGAAGCTCGCTTTGCACTGACAGATTCTGCACCCTGTCTTCATCATCATACCACGCTCGTCTGTGAGCTCCGAAACCAAACATTCCCAAAGTGCAAACACACGCACATATGCCGGGCACAACCACCATGAGATCACTTCAAAATGATTCACATTTATCTGGGCATTACACTTGAAAGGACAGAAATAACATAACAAAAAAAATTCAAGTTTATATAAAACAGCTAATGACGTTTCAAAAGAAAAAAATACCTTTGTCTTTTTCAATCATTTAGAACAAAAATGTGACTCAAAAGTGTTGACTATATCATAAACCTTTGGGTCTCATGAGTCTATTCTAAATAATCAATTGAGAATAGCTCAACTCTGTCTCTTACCAGAGCCTGCAATCCTGCTCCCTACTATAATAATCACCTGCAGAGAATCTACCCATCATCCAATCCCCATCTCCAAGATTCCCTATAAAACCTCCAACTCGCATCAGCCCCTCGTCCGTCGTCAAAGTCATTCCCCCGTGGATACCTCCTGGACTCCCTCGCTGGCTCTCTTCTCAGTTTGCTTTGTGAGTTCCTTACCTCTATCAATCTACCTACCTTTGCTGCTCTTGTTCTCCAGTTCCAGTAGAGTCCTTCCAGATTATTCCCTGTTGGTGCGCGTTTTCTATCGTCGGCTGGTGCGCTCCCTCACTCAATCATGTCTGGTGGTGCCTCACCCCGAATACTCACTCACCTTGGGATCCACTACCAGTTCTGTGAACAAAAAAAAAAAAGAGTTTTGGAGTGCTATATCGAAATTGTTTTTTGCAAGGAGAAAGACCAATGAAAGCTGGGTCCTTTGATGACATGAGTCGGTGCCGCTCATCCCACACTTTCATAGCAACTTTGTTCAGGAAAAAGAAAAGAAATAGAGCACCACAAATCTTCTCTTTTCCCCTAATATTTGACTCCCGGTGATCAGCCATTAACAGTGTAAACCACTCCATCTCCATGATTTTTTTTTCAGTTTTTTATTTCTTCTCTGTCACTGTGCTGTTCTTCTTTCCTGTTTCCCCATTTGTTGCAGAGTGCATCTGATGCATCACAAATGCCATCTTCAGGCAGGGAGCATCATTGCATCAATATTTCCATGACACATGCAAAGATCATCCAGTTTGAGAAGCCATCCGAAGATTTGTACGAATCTCAATTCAAATTCAGTTTGGTGTGTAGAGGCCTTTACTCCCGCGGAAGACCTTAAGACCATTGCTACCATACACTTGGATTACTGTCACAGCTGTGGTCAATAAACACTGCTTACCTTCTCTCAGACTCCTCTCAGGATGTTTGGCCATATCATCTACATTATATTGAGTCTTTTATATCTGCCAAGTCATGGTGTTGGGAGTAAAGACAAACATAATCATTGTCGTTCATGCACTGGATAGATTCTGCATTTGGGAAGGTGGTGGGATCAGTATCACTGAAAGAACCAGACTCCAAAACAAGTCATTTTACAAAACCACTAGTCAAGGTATAGTATGTTTAAGACTTTGAAGAGTAATCATGTTAGAGTATTAATTACTGATGTTGCAGGTAGACCTGTTTTCTCCAAGTTTTGTCAACAATATCTGCACCGCACATACAACCAAAACATGCTGACGGCAAGCTGAGAAATGCTACTGTTGGTAAAACTGAAAGCTCTATTTTCAAGCGAATTCTATACTTTGTTGATATGCAAATGAGCACCACCTGGAATGAGTTTGTCAGCAGGTGGATGGAGTTGCCAGTCACCACAGATGGGGGGTATACGGCTAAAAACTTTTATAAACTGGTTCATTCATGTCTGCATTTTATCCTCATTACAAACA